CCCTCTATTCTGGTACTGTATATAAGCACCGCACTCAGATAATATAATCACTTTTTCAAGACTTACACCATCCCAGTCTCTAACACCAGCTCTCAGTGGGGAGGAAGGGCGGGAGAGTGTCAGTGGAGGTAAGTATTATTGAAAATACATTTTCAATTTAGGAAAATGTTAACTTCCAAAGCACACTTACCTCCACTGACGCTGACAGCTGGAATCCAACATTGAGAAGGTGGAGGGGATTATCCATACAGAAATCATCTGCATAGATCATGGGTGTACCAAGATAAGATCGGTACCCAAGTGGGGGAACTGCACTACATTCAGAACAGGTATGCTCATCACCCAGAATGTAGGTCCAGAAGAAAAGGTGGAATAGTACATAAATGTTCATCACTATAGGACAACCAGATAGTTGAGGTTCCAATACTCAGAATTGGATTTAACGGGTCATGGTTCCTATATCCCACATTGGTGGCTAGGGCAATTGAACCACAGCATTAGATAAAAAGACTATAGAATGAATCCCAACCTGTAACCATAGAATTATGCATTCAGAACCACCAGAATCACGATGAGAAAGTAAGCAACACCTAAGTGGACAAACCTTCTTCTCCACCTGAAGAAGCTTGAAAGACAACACCCCAGGCTTGGAGAGATGGGATCTGGAAAAAACATTCAGGGACCTGGGTAGGAGGGGGCCCAAACTTTGCCCTCTTCTCCAAGAATGGAGGAATTCACTCTAACATTTTGGAGGAAAACCTCTGTCCAACACCCCAGTGACTAGAAACTGGGTTTGCTAAGGACTTCCTAGCTCCACTAGTAGAATCTGGGGAGGTAATGTGCATTGGGGAGTCCTGAGGAACAGTGGTATGGAAACAGTGCAACAGGGGAATCAAGTTCCCAAATTTTTTAAAAACAAGTCAACTCCGAGTATTGGCAGGGATGGGTAGGATCCCCTTTAGATTTACTCATGATAGTCCATGAGTAACATGAGTCCAGCATGTAACAGTAATACCACCTGGTGAGCTCCTGGGTGGCCTTATGTAACACCTCATTTCTACAGAGCCAGTTGTAACCGAGAGTAATAATAGTGAAATAGTAAATGCTAGTGTGGAAGTGTAATGAGAAAAGCATACCTACCTGGGCAACACTCGCCAAACAGTGGGACCAAGGAAAAAGAAAACCAGTGGAAGGAAAAGAAAAAGAACAAACTCACCCCTCATTATAATCTAGCTAGTGTGGTCAACACAGCCATCAGAGTTAAGCGAAAACTCTCAGAAGAAGAAACTGCCAGATTGTGTAAATAATGGGAGTAGTCCACATACTAGCCCACACGATGTCCTGAAGTGGGCAATTCAAATGGGCAGCTAAGGACATAGAAAAATGACAAATCTGATGAGATGTCACTTACAGCATATTCCTCACCTGTAAAGATAGGCCATAATAAGCAATATGGATCAATTTGCAAAGCCATTTCATCAAGGTAATAGGGGATAAATCGCAGGAAACCAAAGGATCCCAATGAATAAAAAGTCAATTTCTAGCACCACAAAAGGAGCTAGTGGGAGCCACATAACACCTGAAGGCTCTGACAGAGCATAACAAACGATCGGGATCTGAGTGGGTTTAAAGGTGAGAAATAGCCTGTAAGTGAATTGGAGAAAAGGATTTATCCAGATAGAGGAGGACATAGGAAAAAGGATAAAGAGTCATGTGCAATATGCAGTGCAAACAAATCAGATCTATGATGTCCACGTGCAAGCAACAACAAAAATATACTTTAAGAGAAAAGTGATACACAGAACATGATGCTAAAGACTCAAGGGGAGGATGAGACAAAGCATGCAATGCCACCTTAGTATCCCAGTTAGGCAAAAGAAAATGCCTTTTGGGATGAAGAATGCGAAAAGAGTGAGTAGGCTGGATAGAACAGGGGACTCAAAAACCCTCCAATGTTTTGAATACCAAAATGTAATCGACAAAGCGATGGCAACAGTAACACGGGAATTCATGCCCAAAAACAGCACATAAATTCTTTAGAAAATTATAATCATACAGAAATCCACAAGGTGACACCAAAATCACAAACAATAACATAAACAAGCACAGCACTGCATCAGAGAAAACCATGACCAAATGCTTTGTAAAGAAAAAGTGATTAAATTATCCGATTGAGGTGCTTATATACAGTACCAGGATAGAGGGCGCATTGACACAGATGGAGCATATCATGAGAGAAATATCGCCAAGGGCATTTAAGTGGAGTATAAAAGACTGGAGCAAGCGAGACCAATGCTTAGATGGGTAAAGTTGAGGAACAGCTGTCAGTGTAAATGGAGGTGTGTTTTGGAATAACAGGTACATTACATTGTGTGAAAGGTGGTACAGAAAACCTATAAACAGGTACAGTACACTGTAAGGTGGTACAGAAAAACTAGAAACAGATACAGTAAATTGTGTGTAAGGTAGTATAGAAAACCAATAAACAGGTACAGTACACTCTATGAAAGTATGCACAGAAAACCTACAAACAGGTACAGTATGTTCTGCAAAAGACAGAATAGGAAACCTACAAACAGGAACAGTTTTAAAAGGTAAAACAACCCACTTTATATATTCAAAAGGAAACATTTTCCTTGCCTGAAAATGTATTTCCAATAGATACTCACCTCTTGATATAGAATAGCTTGATCCCTTGTGCATCTGTTTATGATATTTTCTTGTGACTAGCCTTGAGCTAACTCACGCCTAAAAATCATGTGTTTAATATGAACTGCAATAGTGCACGATGGCATCATCATGCGACAACAGCCTCCCACTAATGGGAAAGTGACACAACCTCCTCATGCAGTAACTCCTTTTGAACACTTGAGCTCAAAATAACTTCATTCTTGGACAAAGCAAGAAGAAAGTACACCAGAAGTGGGGAGAAGATGAGTGTCCACAAGAAATACATTTTCAGACAAGGAAAATGTTAACTTCCAAGATGATACCTCGTTTCCTCACACAGAATAACTAGAATTCCACATTTAACCCTATTGCCACGGGTGTCCTTTACTACACATGACACAAGGTTTTAGTTTCTTACATTCAAAATTTTATTAAAATACTTTTTGTTTACGTTATACCAATTAGAATAGCATAAATTATTAGATAATAATCCATATTTGAATAGTATACAAGGTTTAAATTCTTAATTCTACTAGGTAATATAAAAACAAATCCTGAATTTCTCCTAGTGACCCCTGTCACACATTTTCTTTTAGCATGTCATCGTCCCTATTTTATCCATCACCCCTAGAAAAAGTACGAAATTAAACATAAATTATTCTCTATAAAATCATCATTGCTCAGACAACCCATAATTTTTACATTCTTCAAATTTGTTTGGTTACAGAGCTATTGAATAGAAAATCAGACCCCTTCTACCACACCTACTTGTCACATCCTCTCTTTCAGAATTCGTTAACAGTTTTCTCTTACATGTAATTATATATTATCTACAACTACTAGAAAGTCCAGGTATTCATCTATCAAATGACATATTGTATAACTTCTGAACAGTTAAATGTCAATTTCTCTCAGACTATCAACATCGTTCCCATGAGAAAGTTACTGACTGGCTTGGATGAATTTGTAATGATTCTTGTTGCATAGTTAGAAAGCCAGAAAATTGTTTTGCATGTTATTAGTCAATAGTGTTTGGTATATTATTTAATTAAATAAAAATTATTAGTATAAAAAATTAGGGTTAATTCTCTTTGATAATCAACAGCAAGAAAAAAGAAGATTAGTTAAGTTTTCTATTTTTTGTTTTTCATGTTTATTCTTTATGTATAATTATAAAAATAACTAAAATGTAAATATAGGGATCCTTATAGGTTAGTTAAGATCAAATTAGGTAAAATAAATAATAATATTATAATAAACGAGCATCAGTACACAAAAGGTTGGTGAGCCAAGAAGAGTTGTATGGTTAAGGTGTGATCAGACTGTATGATGTGTGTCTCACCTTGACTCAACTGGACAATCCCTTGCTGCAGGAGGAGGGCACACCAGTTGTTTGAGGGGTGACTTACACAATCAGTAAGGAACTCTTTTAAGGTTCACCACCTCAGTGGCTAGGAACTAGTAAATGGTAAGGGTCTCCCATGCTCAGAGAAGTGCCCAGACACCTGATAGAAAGGTTTTCTACTGCAATGAGTGATTGCAAAACCCTAACCTTAACAGCCAGCAAGAGTAAGCTAAACAAGTGGGCAGGTACATCTGTGGTGCTAGCTTTCTCCATGATAATCCATGGAATGGTAAAATGGTACAGATTGGATCAGGTAATTGAGTAATTTTAATACCACGAAGATACCTCTTGTGGTCCTGCAGAATATCCTATCTTAACAGTAGTAGAACCAGGATGAATGGGTTGAGTGCTTTCTATTAACCCTGGCCCAATGCATATTTTGGGAAATAAGCATACCCTGGGAAGTAATACCAGCTACTTGGTGGGATCCTATAGAGGGGAAAAAGGGGCAATGAAAATAAGAAAATGTACCTAACCTTCTCAAAGATGATATGTAGTAGTAGTGAAGACCAATGGAAACAAAACAGCTACATGATGAAGATAAAGAAAGATGAATGTGTGCAGATTCTTCCATCTGCCAGCCTGAAGGATCTCGTCCAATGGTAGGTGAAAATAATGTGCAGGAGGCAGTTGACGAATTTGATGTGATGAAATGTGAAAGAACAATCACACTATATAGAAGAGTAGTGCTTCTCAACCTTTTCCAATTTCATTCACCTCTATATTCATGATGTCAGATAAACACGTAGGTTCAAGGAGTCTTGATACAAGATGATAAAAACCTTATAACTCAAGTGATTTTGAAAGGTGAACCTTTCTTCTTCAGGGGCAAACTGGGAATTCACCCCTATGAGTTTTTCACAACAGCTCACTCACCCCAGTTTGAAAAAGGACGAAAAACTAAATTCAAATGCAAAATTCTTTATTATGACTTAAATATACATCAAACTACAAATAGAATGAATACAACAAAAAATCATTGTATTTATCAAACTACAACTAGAATAAATAATTATAACTAATGACTTTTGCTCTTGAATTTGTTGTATAATTGATAATACACATTCACCTAGTTGAGAAGCCCCCTCTAGAGCAGTTGAATTGTTAGGAAGAAAGGTCTGGTCTGAACAAAGGAGTAAGTAAGTATGGCAAAAGAGAGTGCAGGACACATTGATGGCCTGTACAACTGAACAAAAGTGACCACATGTGAGAAGGATAAGAAAATATGTTTTCAGAGAAAGATGGGAAAAATGAACATGAAGCCAATGGCTCCAATGGAATCCATGTAAGAGCAGAAAAAACAAATCAAAGTCACAGTCAAGCATGGGAGTAGGATGAGAGGGTTTCTGAAGAAGGAAGGATCAAAACAAAGTGGAGAAGACAGGAGAAGAAAATCCAGCCAACAATGGTAAGGCAAAATGTAGTTGACAAAGCCACCCTAAAACCAGCGACAGGTGAAACTGATAATCCACGGTTGAACAACCATGAGAAAAAGGTTGAAATATGGGTCACAAATAGATGGCCTGGAGTAAAGGAGAACCAGATGGACTGATGTCGAGAAACTTGCTACTTCTGTTGATAGATGGACAAAATTACATGATGACAGGAATGGGATAAGAAAAAAGGTTACACAAATAGAGAGTCCAGCCCTACAGGTAATGGACTGGACAAATCCTACATGTGAATGTGATGGGATAATACCCTTTGGAGAGAAAGACATATTTGAAGCAAGAGAGTGGTAATGGTGTAGAGGAAGAGGGAGACTGGACACCAATTGATAGAGCTGAGGAAATCAGGACTGTGCCAGCCAAAGAGGCACCATAAATAGGACTCAACAAGGAATGTTGGATATTGAGGAGATGGAAGAGGATAGGCATACAGAAAAAAGGTGAAGCTAGTCCTGGCTGAGGGCACTGGCAATCAGGGCTGGAGGATAAGAAACTGGAGACCAGAAGAGGGAAAGAATGGAGTTGAGAGTGGCAAAGACATTGGTGAGATCAAACTCAACAAAAAAACCTGTTCAGCCAAGAAAAGCAAACAACTACCAAAACAAGAGCCCCAAGTACATGACAAACCATGAGATGAACCTGAAGGGAATAAACCCAAAATAGCAGATTCAATGTAAGGAAGCAAAGAGTGTTATGTAGACATTCAGAGACACCCCTCAGTCCAACAGAGAAACATTAGTGAAAAGATGGAGATGTGCAACGTGGTGTTGGCATGACTGAGCCACCAAGACAAATCCACAAGAACAGGAGAAGGGAGACACAAAATTAAGAATCCTGGATCCTGAGAAAGGTTCCATCAGTTCTGCAACCACCACTGGAAGTGGCATGTGTGTACAGCCTAACTGATTGAGTAGTACAAGGGAAGACCCTCATGTGCAGGGAAAAAGAAGAAGCACAACTACTGGAGATAATAAATTCTGTCTCTTGTAAGCAAAGTGGTGAAGACAAAGCCTGATGAACATGAGAGTTGAAGAACTAAGTAAGGAAAGATAGAACAGAAGCAGTAGGTATTATGGGTCAATGGAGTGAAAAAAAGAGAACAGATCTCTCCAGAAAATCCTCTCCTGGAGCACTTTGAAGTGTATCAGACATAAGGTGAGATGGGGAGAGGTAACACATGAGTGTGGTAAAAAAAAAAGAGACAAAAGTGCAAAAATCAGGCACTAGAAAGGAAAACAGAAGGTAAGGGGTCCACCTCCCAAGCAAGTAAAAAGAGATTCCAAAGACTGTGATTTGAGGAATGGAAATGAAGAATGGCTGTAAGACAGGACAAAACAGTCATGTAAACTAGGAGGACAAAGCATGTTAGTACAGTGTGTAGTTGATCTAGAAATGAGCCAGCATGGATCCTAATATCAGGTGAAAATGGGAAACAAAGTATGGGTTTCATGAAGTAAAGGATAGGAGGATTCAGAAAACAAATAGGAAAGAAAATGAAACTAACATACATGTGAAATAATGTCATGGAATAGATTAGAAGAGTGAGGCTTTTCTTCCACAGATAAAAGCTGTGCCTAGAGCAAACCCTGGTCATATCACCATCATCCTGATTATGTCAAACTGGGGAGAAGGAACATCAGCCGAAGAGATGGGAGGAGGAAGCTCGATGTACATGAAGGAACCCACAACATGTTGAGGAATGGCTGTCATGTCTCCCACAGATAACAAGCCTCCAGTAGCCACAATAAGGTACAAGTCCAATGTTAGAGACTTTGGTAATGGGTAAGCAGAAAAAAGTAAAGTCTGTCCCCTTCACTTTAGTAATGAACAAAAAGTTAAAATAAAAATGAAGTTTTGTTCACTATTGTAAATCTCACATAACTGAATGAAAAGGTAAAAAACAACACAAAAACGTCTGTCCGAGACAATGCCGTTGAAAAAATGAAGTTATTTCAAGCACAAATGTTTAAGGAGAGTTACAGCATAAGGAGGTTGTCCCCCTACTATAGATGGAGGGCTATTGTTGCATGATGATGTCATCATGCACTAGTGCAGTTCTAGTTGGGAGTTATGACAAGGTTAGTGGCATGCAAACCTCACAGGCAGATGTACAAGAAATTAAGCTAGTCTGTGTGAGGAGGTCTTGGAATGTACAAAATGCTAAAAAAATGTCAATATTATATATAGCTCGATTGCATTATATTTTACATCTATCACAAACAATATATTTTAGCCACAGTGAACTTAATAAACTCAATATTCTCAAATGTTATAGATACATTTCAGGGTTCAGAGTCTTATAAAAAATTTTCATAAACACGTTTAATTTTTGAATAGAAAATACGTTTTTTTCTTCATTTCTACTTTAGCAGTAAAAAATGTCACTTTTAAAAGGAACTTTCACTTGTTTTTTGATGAAGTCTTTGATTACTGTGAAATTTTCTTAACTATTTAACACATTTAAGAATGACTCCTAGCATTGTTTGACCACAATATTACCTTTTGCCCAATGGCACTAAGTAGAAAACCCCCAACTTGACAGATTGCTGTTACTGGGCCTTTTTGTTCTTTACAGTAAACCACCTATAAAAAGAAGTTTTTCTCTGAATACACAAAACATAAAATTTGGTCTTTACAATAAACAAACTCGAAGAAAAAAATGGTAGTTCTTTACTTCTTAATGACTAAACAAAACACAGGTCTGTTCTTTACTTCTTTATCAGACTTAACATTTACTGTGTATGGTCTACATGAAACAGCAGGTTAAATCAATGTAACATGAAACACCAGGTTTAATCTATTTATGGTCTATATGAAACACTAGGTTTAATCTATTTATGGTCTATATGAAACACCAGGTTTAATCTATGTATGGTCTACATGAAACCCCAGGTTTAATCTATGTATGGTCTACATGAAACACCAGGTTTTATCTATGTATGGTCTACACGAAACACCTGGTTTAATCTATGAATGGTCTACACAAAACACCAGGTTTAATCTACGTATGGTCTACATGAAGCACCGGTTTAATCTATGTATGGTCTACACGAAACACCACGTTTAATCTATGTAAGGTCTTCATGAAGCATCATGTTTAATCTATGTATGGTCTACATGAAACACCAGGTTTAAGCTATATTATACATGATCTACATGAAATACCAGGTTTAATATACTATACATATGGTCTACATGAAACACCAGGTTTAATATACTATATTATACATGATCTACATGAAACACCAGGTTTAATATACTATATTATATGTGGTCTACATGAAACAGTCTCAGTGAAGTTGTTTTTCTAAAGTTCACTTATGTTACACGTTATCAATTGTTGACCATTTTTCCTTATTATTAACTGTTACTTTTCATCATCTATAACATAATAAAGATCATTCTAGTTAATGATCCATTAAAAATTAATCCAAATTTTCCATGTCTCAAACAATAAATATTACACTATTAGTTTGTGTGTATTTTTGTTTCATTTGTAAAGAGACAGAAAAAAGAATGTAATTCTAAACTTACTTTGATTTTATTTTTTGTAAGAGGTTGGCCTGGTTCTGGTACAACGTCAATAACATCTAATATAAAAATCTGCAAAAAAAATATTACAGTAAGTACAATATTTCTTATACAAAAGATTTACTGTGTGTCCTCATACTTGTTAATTATTATTATTTAACAAATGAGATTGTCTTCAAAATACATTACAATCCTGTTAAGTAGACATGTTCAAGTGACTAATACATTACAATCCTGTTAAGTAGACTAGTTCAAGTGACTAATACATTACAATTCTGTTAAGTAGACTTGTTCAAGTGACTAATACATTAAAATCCTGGCAAATAGACTTGTTCAAGTGACCAATACATTAAAATCCTGGCAAATAGACTTGTTCAAGTGACTAATACATTAAAATCCTGGCAAATAGACTTGTTCAAGTGACTAATACATTAAAATCCTGGCAAATAGACTTGTTCAAGTGACTAATACATTACAATCCTGGCAAGTAGACTTGTTGAAGTGAGTAATACATTACAATCTTGTTAAGTAGTCATGTTCAAGTGACTAATACATTACAATACTGTTAAGTAGACTTGTTCTACCTACTACTTTGCTTCCACTGACAAAATAAGTTGAACTATAAACAACAGACTTCACATTAAGCAACCTTAGATATTTCAGAATTATACAGGTAAAAAATAAAGAAGATTATTTATCTCATTTTCAGATAGACATACAAATTGAGACATTTGTTTCATAGGATAAAAAACAAACAAGATATGACTAGCAGAATAATGCATCTTTTCATGAAACAATGATTGAATAAATCATTGGTTATCTGTAATTCTCTCCAACCTATTGCATTTCAGCTTCAACAAACAATTTTATCATTACAGGGCTAGGACACAAGTAAATATCTTTTAGATTCAGTGATCCCTCTAGTGTTAAATAACACCTCCCAGTCCTCATGCTGGATAGGGGCCTGACTGTTCTGTTATAGTTTAAATGTAATATAAACACAATCAAGTACAGTGAACCTTTGCATAACGAAGCCATCAGATAATGAATTTCCACTTAATGAATAGCCTCCCATAAGCCCCATCGACTCACACAACAAATATTTTCCACATAATGAATTGCACCAATTTAGGCCAATCAGAGTGCTCCTAACTAAACTTGGCACGCCTCAGCCAATCAGCAATGCCTATTTATGAGCGTTTTGAGCCAGACTGTCTTTGTTTACAAAGTTTGCTGTGCTGTGTCTGTGGAAAAGAGGTCTCTTGAAGACTCTGTGATTTTATTGAATTTATCGATTTAAAAGTGAATTTATAGTGATTGTAATGGCCCCTAAAAGTTACTCACAAAAGTATAAGAAGCGTAGGAATTGCATAACCCTTAAGATAAAGCAGGAAATTGTTAAGAAGTCAGAAAAGGGGGCAAAACAAGTGTGCTTGCTAAGGAATATAGCCTGTCCAAATCAACAATTTCCACCACCATGCTAAATAAGGAGAAAATTAAAGTTACCAAAGTGAGTGATGCCTCAACCAGGGTCATTAAAGGAAGGGAAAAAATTGTGAAAGTGGAAAGACTGCTGTTGCTTTAGATTCATCATATGCAAATGCAAGGTGAGTCCATAGATAGCAGTATGATTTGTGAGAAGGGTAAAACTGTTTTGATCACTATAAACTTGAATAAGCTCAATCCTCTGGTTCAGTTTTGAAGATTTCCAGGAAATTAATGGTTGGTTTGAAAGTTTCAAGCAGAAAAGTGAGATCCATTCTATGGTTAGGTATGGTAAAGCTTCCAGTGAAGATAAGAGGGCTGCAGAAAAGTTCAAAGTGGAATTTGCTGAATTAATGGAGGAGGAAGGCTATTCGCCCAAGCAAGTATTTAATGTGGACAAAACTGGGCTCTTTTGGAAAAAGATGCTGTGGAGAACTGAAATCACCAATGAAGAAAATGCTTTGCCAGGATAGGCTTACCTTGTTGCTTGGGGCTAATGTATCAGGATATTTCAAATTGAAGCCCATGCACATGTACCATTCTGAGAATCCTAGGGTATTTAAACAACAAAAAGTCACCAGAGGTGAACTGAAGGTCTATTGAAAATCCAACCATAAGGCATGGGTGACAAGTAGTTGTTTTATGAATGAGCTTCTGAAGTTTTTGCCCCTCTGTGAAGAACTATCTAACTAAGAATGAGATGGAAGTGAAGGCTCTGTTACTCTTGGATAATGGACCCTGAATTTGCTTCCTCTTTGATAGCCAAATTTCCTTTCAAAGTAAAGTTCTTGCCTCCTAACACTACATCTTTGATCCAGGCTATGAACCAGCAAGTGATAGACAATTTCAAAAGGCTCTACACCAAGTGGTTTTCCACAAGTGTTTTGAGGCTACATCACTTGAAGAGGGGTTAATACTGAAAGAGTTTTGAAAGACTCAATTTAGCATTCTGGAGGCTGTAAAGACCATTGTCTTAGCATGGCAAGAAATATCATTGCACCACCTGAATGCTACATGTAGACTTTGAAGATGTTGCTGCTGTACAAGAAGAAATTGTCTCACTTGGTGAATCTATGGGGCTGGAAGTGGATCAGGATGATGTGAAAGACCTTGTTAACTCTCACAATAGGCTGCTCACCACAGAGGACCTGCAAGAACTGGACAGCTCCATTGAATATGAC